TTGTGGATTACAAATATCTAATTAAATATAAATTTGGAATTATGAAAAGGAAAGATTATTAGCATCTGCTTTCATAAAAGCACCTTTTGAAAAATTTAGTTTTCATCCATTGAAACATAAACATATTTTATTATCTGGTCATAATTATTTAAGATTATGGGAAATGTAATTTTAAGAAAAATAAATTAAAGAAACTCATGAAACTTTAATACCACTCAAAATAGAAAAAGAAAATAAATTTTTAGATCATGGATGGGTTATGCTTTCAGCTAATTAAGCTTTATTAGTATTATTAGCAGCTGGTAATAAGATATTAATTTTAATTAATGATCATTTCAAAAAACCTATTGATATTGATCCTTAAAATTTAAATTTCATTGATGCACCTGTATAAGATTTTAATGCAGAAGATAATGATGATGTTATGGGTATTAATTCTGCACTTGAAGATGTTATCAAAGATAAAGTTGGATAAATTGGAACGAACAATCAAACTAAATTAACATAAAATACAACTATAATGACATAATAATAATTAGAATTCTAATGTTTATCAACTACTAAAAAAGGATTTATTTTAGGAGGTACTAAAGGAGCTGTTTGTATTTATGAATTTGATAAAAATTATAATATTGTAAGTGCTATGTCATTTAATATGAAAAGTAATAGAGGTGAACATAAAGTTATTTAAATATCTAATAGTGGTGATTAACTCATTTCTATAATAAGTTTATTTGGTAATCAATTATATTATAGTATTTTAAATACTGCTTAAATGGATACTGAAATTAGTCCTATCTAACCATTCTTTGCTGCAGGATTTCATAATAAAAGAGTTAATTCTATTTCACATGCTAAAATTAAATAAGTATTTGTTACATGTTCAGAAGATAATTCTGTTAAAATTTGGAATTATTATTAAAATGAAAATAATGATAAAAAAGGAGTCTTAAGTAAATATTTCAAAGAAGAACCTGTATGTGCTTCTATGCATCCATTTGGTTTATTTGTAGCTGTTGGATTTACTAATGGATTTAAAGTTTTTGCAATCTTAAATGAAGGTTTCTTTCCTTTGAAGGATGTTACATTAAATAATTGTAAAATTGTTAAGTATAGTCATGGTGGACATATGCTTATTACTAATGAAAAAACAAATGTTTATATTTATGATGCCATTTATTATGAACTCATACATTAATTTGAATTTCATAATTCACCTATTAAAGATATTGCTATATCTCTAAATGATCAATATATTGTTAGTACTTGTACAAATGGATATGTATATTGCTATAATTTAGCAGAACTTAATAAT